GGGGGGAACCTAGGGGGTGTAGTCTAGAGGGGGGTAGTTACGGTAGTAGGGGAACCCATGAGGTGAGTCAGTTTGTTCTTGCTGGGATTGACAGCGGCCCTGTTCCTAGGCGAGCCTCAAACTTTCAGCTGTGGTGACGCCACTCAAAAGTCGATGCTTCAACCGTGGTCCAAACAATGCTGCAACAGGGATGATCGTTGGTAGCGATTGTGTATACGATCTGTAAAACCTAAACCTGGGGATATTTGGATCCCAATTTTACGCCCATTTGGATCACAAATGTAGCCCACTTTTTTTTGCGCGGTAATTAAAGGTTGGACACCGTCTATGAGCTGCTCCCCGCGCCTGAGCTTGGATTGGAAGGAGGGTTTTGGGGTTGATAGGGCTTATGGGGTGTGCATACGTCCATAGGCCATAGGGCTTCTTATAGCAGGGCTGATCGGCTTTAGGGTGAAAGACAGGAATGAAAGACAGGAATGTTCAAGAGGCTGAAGCCTTCAGAGTGGTTTGGGGATACCTAGGGTCTATGTTGGTTCAAGTCCCCTGAACCCTAAACCCAAACCCTAAACCCGAAACCCTAAACCCTAAACCCTGAAACCTAAACCCTAAACTCTAAACCCTAAACGCAGTTTGGGGTTTTCGCAGGTGCAATAGGGAAAGACACATACAACACCTGCACCATAAGAGCCACAGGCCCCCAATCAATGTCCCTCCGTGGGGTGACACATGAGAACCCTCAACCTTTAGGGTTTAGGGTTTAGGGTTTGGGGTCCCAAACCCTGGGCCCCTTAGGAGGCGCCAAAGAATGAGGGCGCGAAACCTGAAGCCCTGAACTCTGTTTGGCGCGAAGGGCTTAGGGTTCCTTAACCCTTGACCCTAAACCCTAAACCTTATAACGCCATGTTTATATATATGTATGTCTATATACATATATATTTATATATAAACCCTAGGTCAGCATCAGAGATGGCCAGTTCTGTAGATTATTGTCCCTTTTGGGGGTACTATTCTAAGGCGGCCCCTAAACCCTCAAACCTAAGCCCTACACCCTCATTTCTAAACCCTCAACCCAAAACTCTAAACCCTAAACCCTAAACCCGAAACCCTAAACCCTAAACCCTAAACCCTAAACCCTAAACCCCACCCAAGAAGGGGCCATCATTCAGAGAGCTCAGCATATAAACGGGGTCCAGGAGATGATGTGCTACGCTGAGCACTTCACGGCTTACAACGTGGCCTGGCCACGTCGCGGGGTTTAGAGTTTAGGGTTTAGGGTTTCGGGTTTAGGGTTTAGGGTTTTGGGTTTAAAGGGTTTAGGGTTTAGGGTTGAGGGTGGGCTTCGGGTTGCAGCTCTTGGTTTCACAGGCTTGAAGTTCCAGACTTCCGGATTGATATGGCGCAGGGCAGGATTTTCGGGTTAGGGTCTGAGGTTTGGGGTTTAGGGTTTAGGGTTTAGGGCTGAGGGTTTAGGGTTTAAGGGTTTTAGGATTTCGGGTTGAGCCGTGAAGCCCCAAAAGCCCTCTGTACTACTCCAGCCAAGCGTTCGACAAGTCCGGGGCGCTTGTCATTTTCAAAGAAAGCAGCTGAGGATCCAAACGCTATGTAAACCCTAAACCCTAAACCCTAAACCCTAAATCCTATGTAAATCCTTAACCCGGAGAAAATTCACCGCTACATCCCGAAGCCCTGTGACCCCTCAACCCTGTCTTACAGAACTACCCAAGTCATAGTCTCCCCGGGTTGAGGCTCCCAAGCCCTAAGCCAAGAAGTTTAGGGTTTCAGGGTTTAGGGTTTAGGGTTCAGGGTTTAGGGTTAGAGGCCCTACTTTCAACCTTGGCCTACTGAACATGGAGACCCAGCACCCTTCCCAAAATCCAAGATGTAGTACCAGTATGGAATTCTGTACCCCCAAAACCGCAGTTGGTACGGTTTTCGGGTACAGAATACCATAGCAACCCTTTAAGCCCTAGACCCTATTCAGTATGGTTTCTGGGTATTCCATAGTAGTAGTAGTAGTAGTAGTAGTAGTAGTAGTAGTAGTAGTAGTAGTAGTAGTAGTAGTAGTAGTAGTAGTAGTAGTAGTAGTAGTAGTAGTAGTAGTAGTAGTAGTAGTAGTAGTAGTAGTAGTAGTAGTAGTAGTAGTAGTGGTAGTAGTAGTAGTAGTAGCAGCAGTAGTAGTAGTAGTAGTAGTATTAGTAGTATAGTAGTCGTAGAGTAGTAGTAGAGTAGTAGTAGTAGTAGTAGTAGTAGTAGTAGTAGTAGTAGTAGTAGTAGTAGTAGTAGTAGTAGTAGTAGTAGTAGTAGTAGTAGTAGTAGTAGTAGTAGTAGTAGTGAGAGTAGTGAGAGTAGTAGTAGTAGTAGTAGTAGTAGTAGTAGTAGTAGTAGTAGTAGTAGTAGTAGTAGTAGTAGTAGTAGTAGTAGTAGTAGTAGTAGTAGTAGTAGTAGTAGTAAGCACTCCGGCTCAGCTGTGTCCCAGCAGCGGGACTTATAGTTGTGGAGATGTAGCATCTATGCCATGGAGCGAACCTTGCGGTGGAGTCCAGCTCCGAAACGTGATGATCACAGTCCTATAGTGCAGCGAGCCGCACTAGCGCTACTGTTGACGCTCGCCAGCTGGATGCCTTTTGGCTCCAACAAAGGGCGCATGGGTCGACTGAAAGCCTTTGCCCCTGGCTTGCCAACGCGTCAGTCTGAAGCTAGCCCCGTTGCAAGTGCGTGTTTACCAGCAGCTAGGAGTTGGCGCAACTTTTCCTGCAGTTGGTGCGAGCAAGAGGTCGATGCCGCCTGCGTCCCTCCTGGGCGCGCGCCGTCAGGCCGCCCCATTGAGAGCACGCTCGTCAGCTGGGTGCCTCTTGGCCCCAACAAAGGGCGCATGGGTCGACTGTGTGCCTTTGGCCCTGGCCTGCCAACGCGGCAGCCTGGCACCGGCACCATTGCAAGTGCGTGGCTACCAGCGATCAGGAGTTGGCGCAACTTTTCCTGCAGCTGGCGCAAGCATGACGTGGCTGCCACCCGCATTCCTCCGTCAGGCCGCCCCGTTGAGCGCATAGTGCCACACCTCCTTATAGATAGCCGGCCCGGTCCCAAGTCCGGGGTGGGATGCCGACTGACGACTCTACTTATATTGCTACATTGTCAGGTGTCCCACAGTGTGAGGGTTCCAGCTCTTTCCGTTGGAGCTGGGGAAGGCAATTCCCTTGCCTGTCAGCGACGACTTCAGGTGCCGAAGCTAAACGGAGTTCAGGTCACAGATGGGAAGCAGGGACCTACTCACAAGTGGAACCGATGTGTCAAGAGATCTTTTATGCCAGCTTGCAATAGAGCTATTCGACATTGCCAAGCGCAGCCCTTGTGCCTGTGTACCTCTCGTTTTAATCAGATATTCGAGGAGTGTGTAGCTGCAGATCATCGCTGCCTTGTCCCGAATGCTGACCGAATGCCGGCGGCGGCAACCTACCCTATCCTCGGATGGGATGGCCCCGCACTGGGCCCCGGCCCCACGTATGCTTCGAGATGTGGTCTGGGTTTTGACGTTACGTCCTTCCGGGTCACAGTTAGTAAGTGCGATAAAGCTGTGTTCTGGCAATGCTCTGCGGCCAGACCTTTCTTGGGTACTGAACTACACGGTCCCCAGTGTACCCTCGAAGGGCCACTTGCAGTTCACAGGACTACAGGGTGCTGAACGTGGTCCTCAGTGCGTCCTCTTGGGGCCACTTGCAGTTCATAGGACTACAGGGTGCTGTGCATGGTCCTCAGTGTGCCCTCCTGGGGCCACTGCAGTTCTCAGGACTGCACTTTGTACAGAGAAACACCATGATGAGTGCAAGATGCCATAACAGATGGCTGTAGCGATGTCGATAGCTCTACGGACTGTTTTCATGTGTTACGTTTTCGCTTTCTACTTATCTGATTTTGCACTCTTTTGATCGAGTGAAGGGTGCACTGGTGCACCATTTTCTTGACAAGTTGAGTAGGCCGCAAGTTTGCAGCTATTCGTAGCGGGACTTGCCCATGTGGTTCTAGTGCTCTTGAAGCACCGGTGCAATGCGCTGCCACGTACCTGACGCTAAGCTGAGAGACCGGCTGCGATTGGAATGAAAATAGTAGTAGTAGTAGTAGTAGTAGTAGTAGTAGTAGTAGTAGTAGTAGTAGTAGTAGTAGTAGTAGTAGTAGTAGTAGTAGTAGTATAGTAGTAGTAGTAGTAGTAGTAGTAGTAGTAGTAGTAGTAGTAGTAGTAGTAGTAGTAGTAGTAGTAGTAGTGGTAGTGGTAGTGGTAGTGGTAGTGGTAGTGGTAGTGGTAGTGGTAGTGGTAGTGGTAGTGGTAGTGGTGGTAGTGGTAGTGGTAGTGGTAGTGGTAGTAGTGGTAGTGGTAGTGGTAGTGGTAGTAGTAGTAGTACTACTACTACTACTACTACTACTACTACTACTACTACTACTACTACTACTACTAATACTACAAATGGAACCCCTGGGCTTCAGAGGATAGCAACGACGGTGCCCTCTTCTGGAGCGGCGTCGTTCGCAGACTCCGCCGCTTGGTGTCGGAGTAGGGTTTGGGGTTTGGGGTTTGCGCTAGGGCTCGCTGGCATGTTGTCGGTGTTCACTTTTTGAAGCGCGCTAACATAACTTATCCGGGAACTTAGCGAACTTAGCTACTTAGCTTTTGAGGCATGTAAAAACCAGAGTTAAGTAAAAGTTAAGTAAAAGTTAAGTTCAAGTTAAGTTATTTTTTGTGTTTTGTTTTGTTGTTTTGGCACATGAACCATGTCCACATAAGACCTTCTAATTTGATGCACTTTATGTTGTTTTTGCCAGAAAATGCATGCGTTCAAGCCGGAGGCTGAAAAATATACTGGGTTTTATACGTTTTTGGGGCAAGTGTAGTGTGTTCCTTCCCGGAGCAGTGAGATTGTCTACCTATACCAGACATGAGATGAAGTCTATCTTTGACCACCTTTATCAGTCATGCAGAAGCGCGCTGCGCTCGGTACTCCGTTTCTTCACCACAACGTCAGTAGCGACGGCCCGGCGAACTTCCAGCACGCAGGCAGGAGGACGTTTCTCTGGTCCTCCGCAATCTCGAGGCTTCTTTGTACATCACTGCGCGTCCACTGCATGATTCCTGTGTCGATCACTGCAGCCAGGTTGTACATCGCGAGCACCAAGAGGGTTCCTGCTTCTGTTTGCTGCACGTCTTCAATAACCCCACACGTCTCCAGGTTTGACACAACGATAGGATTGCCCACGATGTATCGACGCCAGGCACACACAGCAGCCTTTCGACCATTTTCCACTGTCGTGACGCACAGATTCCATGTCGCAGCCTCCAAGACTTCCTTTTCGTTAAAGAAGGAGCCAGCAAGTACAGCCCACTCCAAGTGCCTGACATCTTTGATTTTGTTGTTGCAGAGTGTCTTGTAGATCTGATGTCTTCGCTCAGTGTTCATGGTGTCTATAATCTCGTCATGTTGGCGAAACTGCTGCACCTGATGTCGGCTGTAGTGATGCTTCGGTCTCATTTCTGCGAGGCCCCACACAGTCGCAAATGCCTCGTGGTGTTCTTTCTCCGCTGACTCCAGCAAGGGAAGTAGTGCACTGTCCCTGCTCATGCGAAGCGCTTCCAGATAAAAAACCCGCTTGCACAGCAGCTGGAAGCAGTGTACTTGCTCAGAGAGCTTGTCTTTGATGGCAACATCGAGGACGGAGACGATGTAAAAATGAAGCAGTGGCATCATGGCCACTTGATCCTGCCCATCTGCTTTCCATAATTTTTCTGAAAAGAAGTTCTTGTCCAGAGTTCTCAACTTTGGGCGGTTGTGCAGAAACTCCAGTGGAGCGCTCAGCTGCTCCTGCAGGGCCTGGTTGCTCAGTCCTTGCTGGTTGAAGGCCTGCAGCAGCATACAAACTTCCTGGGCGACAATCCCCCCCGAGTAGTAGCAGTGCCTCGGATCAATAGCATCTAAAAGGCGACTAGTCCATGCCCACTTTAAGCCAAACATATGCTACATTGCATCCAGTTGCAGCACGTCGAAGACTGTAGCGGCTGGCCGAAGCAAGCTACGCAGTTCTGGCTGTGCCAGGGCTCCTCGCGGTTCGTGTCTCCATCCCAGATTTTTGCTGAGATCTTCGAGAGCGCCTTTGGTCTCCACAGCAGCGCAAGCGCTCAAAGAGTCCAAGGCAGCATATATGCTGGTGTCCGTCGCCGGACTGTACTTTGTCTTGTCCTGAGCATATAGACACACGCTGAAACCCGGAACGCCCGAAGCCCAAACACCCAGACCTAAACGGAGAAAACGGCGTAAAGTAAAGAAGCCAAGTCAAGTCCCAGCAACAGCTTCGTCAATGGTCACGAACTTGTTCAGCACATTTGCCTGCCCCCTCTCAAGCAACTGATCACGGCATAGCTTCGAGATGAGGTTGGAGCACAGCCAACACGGTCGTCTACCGGATGCCCCTTTTGCAGCCAGGCACGCTGCTAGACCAGCTTCATCTCCAGAAAAAGCCTCCAGGCGCAGCTTGCAAAATATACGCTGGCCTGCTATCAGCAGTGTGCGACCGTTCCAGCAAGGCGTCAGGGCTCGTAGCAAAACTGTGGTTGCACCAGCGACGCCGCCTATGACATCAATCAAGAGGTTGGAAGGCAGCGCAGCCACAGTGGTCCAGGAACCAGGCCTGGGCCTCATACATTTGTAGCCAATGTAGAACAAGTACGCCTTGCGCTGCACGCATGGGGCTAGGGGATTTCCAGGCGTGGCCTCATCGCAGTATAATATTATGCTGGTCTCCTGACCAACGCGGAAAACCGCTTCCAGTAGCTTTTTTCCGTAAGCGGGGTTCGCTTCAGCCATGGCCTCGGTGGCCTTCAAGACATCCACCACTGGCCACTGGTGCTCCCGATCATCAGTGAGGGGCAGTGTCGCTGTCATTGTTGTTTCTTGTAGCCAGTCCTTTCGGATGCGGTAGTCACGATGTCGCACCGAACCTTTGCTTGGAGGCTTCTCCACGATCCCGGCCTGGTGCAAACGCTGAAGCGTTCGGTCAACGTGACCAGCGTTCGTGCCGGCGTGGCCCAAACAAGGCAGCACGGCATCGCGGATCTCGCGCTGTCTCTTTCTGGCGCTGCTGCTACTAGTCGACTCTGTCATTGCTAGAGCCTGCAAGGAGTCCATTGCATCACGTGTAGCGCAGGCGCTCAAAGCCGAATGTGCTCGACAGTCGACCCTGTCATGGCTGGGGCCTGGACGAGTCCAGTGCATCAGGCGCAGCGCAAGCGCTCAAGGCCTATATATACTCCATATACGACAGATGCACCGCAGCACATTGCGCTTTTTTTTGTGCCTCGACTGACCCTGCAGTAGACTTCTTACGACACAGCTGGTCGTGCCTTCTTCCCAGCTTGCGCTTCTTCCTCAGACACGTCTTTCTTGTTCTTCTGTCCTCGGCGGCTGTCTGCTGGGCATGACTTTGCCTTTGCACTCCAAGCGTTCTTCTTCTGTTTCTTGTTTGCCATCTGCAGGCTTTCTTCCAGAGCACACTGCTCGTAGCTAGTGTCCATGCAAGTAGTCAAGTCCTTCTCCCACGCCACTTCGGCATCACCTTGAGCTCTTTGGGCTTCAGCCACTAAGTCCGTCAACTCCCTCGTGAGGCTGTCCGCCTGGCTCGCCTCCTGCGTCTCTTTCAGGCCAGGCTCCTGTTGTTTGGTCTTGGAGCTGCTGGCCTTCTCGGGCGAGTCCTCCACAGCAACCACGTTGCTCTGCTCTTCCTCTTCCTTGGCCCGGGTGTCTACGCAGTACGTGCGCAGGTCACGCACGACAAGGACCTGACCCGAAACATTTCTATTTTGTGTAAAGTATTACGTATGGTTTTCGGATTTAGGGTTCGGCGTCTATAGGGTCTAGGGTTATTAAATGCTGTATGGTTGGGGGTTCACGCGCAGCACCAGCCTCGCGTTCTCTGCGCGGACCCTTGTTGCCCACGTAGAGTCGAGTTTTCTCGCGGTCGTGTATGTCCGCCCAGACGCCGTAGACCATGGTCAAGCGTGAGGCTCTGGCGGCGGTTCGGTGACGAGGCTTTGAGAAGATTGTGCCAGCAAGTTTTGAATGTCTCCTGCACAGAAGACCTGATTTATACTATCCAGCGGCAGCGCTCCGCGCTCTAGCATCTGTGCTGTGTGCGCATTCGCGAAATGCTTGGCAAAGACGGATGAATTTCACGTCTGGCTAGAAAGCCGGTCCCAGTCCGTCGAGGCCTCTATACTCACGCAGTCTCCTCGCTGTCAACAGCAACCATGCAGGCGTTCTAAGCGCGCAGGTGCAGCTGTGCGTGGGCGCCAGCGGCGATGTTCTTGCTCTGCGTGTTCGAGACAAGCGAGCTCGCAGCCACGCGGGGGACGCCGCGTCTAGAAACCATATAAGCTGCGACAAAACAAACTGTCCGGCGTAGCATCTATGTCAAAATTTACGTACACACTCGGAAGCGCGAGCGCTCGGGAGTTTGGGCCTTGCATGCTTGAAGCATTGTCGCTGTTTCGATGCAGCCGCAAAAGGGTGCCGGTTTTCTTCCTCTGGACTTTCGAACGTTGCAGACCTACCAAAAACAGCATACCGATGGGCAGAGCTGGCACGTCAGTCCGTAAACTCACTCGCCACGTTTATCTCCGCGAGCCCACTGCCCAGCATGCTGAAGTCCCCCTCTCCAACCGCCGCTTGGCCACCGAGTCCAGCAGGTGCGCCAGGAGTATCGGTGACGACCCTCGCGGCCAGCACATCCACGGTCATGGTTGCCAGCAGCCGAAGTGTGTCGGCGGACATGTTCTCGAGCTGATGCCTCAGGTTTTCCTCGGTGGATGCACTTATCACCACGCAGTGCGTCAGCCTCGTGTCAGCCATTGCGGTGACTGTGCGTGAAAGGGAACTGCATGTGCCTTGCAACTGGACCATCCACGGCGTTGGCTCACTTTATGCAGCGCGTGAGGCGCTCAGCATTGAACACAAACGCAACTGTATGACGTGTACCACAAGCGCAAGTACTTAACGTGTAGCAGAAGCGCCAGCGCTCGGATGCGACGCACAAGTTCACCTTTTTCCCCCTCGTTGTTTGCGTGCGTTCGGAGACGAACGCTGTCTTCCACTGACTCGCGTGTGTTCCTTGCCGCGACAGGGGCCCACACATGCCATGCTGAGGTGCATGGTGGGCATGTCGACGACGTCAAACGTGCAAGCAGGCGCGGACTACAGGCCGACTCAGCTGTCGGCGGAGGCCGCGTCAGTGACCTGGGTCTCCTCGGCGGTCTCACACTTGACACTGTCGTCGTCCTTTTCCTTGCTCTCCTCCTTGTCGGACTCTTCCTCGCCGTCCTTGGCGTCCTTCTCTTCGCGAGGTCGCTTCCTGCCGCCGGCACGGGTCTTAGCCTTAGCCTTCGCCAGCGGCTTGACAGTGGCAGCCAGGGTCAAGTGCTCCTGGACCTGCTGCTGCAGCTCCTTGAAGTTGGTGAACGGCAGGTCCTGAAGCTTAGCGTCAGGCGTCTTGGCCCGCTTCAAGACTGTCTGCAGCGCGGCCGTTTGCCACTCCTGCATCTGCGTGTGCGCGGAGCAAATGCTTTCGCGTACAAGCTCCGACGCTGTCTTGTCCTTGGCAACGAGGTCTCTCGCCTTGGTCACTTTGACCAGAGGCTGTGCAAGGAAGCGGTTCGCCTTGCTCGCCAGGTTGAAGAGCTCGTTCTGGCGCTTCCTCTCCTCTTGCTCCTGCTTCTTCTTGGCCTTGGCGGCTTCCTTCTTGTCTTTCGCGGCTTGCTTCTTCTTGTCCTTGGCCTCAGCTTTAGACCGGTTCCGGGCCTCTTGCACTTCCTCTTCGTCCTCCGTCAAGTCCGCAAGGGCCTCCTCTAAGTCCGCTAGGACTTCTGCTGCCGCATCCTTGTCCGCCTCCTCGACGTCGTCCGTGGCCTTGTCCTTCAGGGCACGAGGAACAGGCGCCGCCGGCAGCGTGCGCTTACGGGCCTTCAGCTCGATGCGCATGGACTCCTGCGCCATTTGCTCGCAGATGTTGTTGCTTTCCTCGCTGTGCAAGGAGACTTGGTAGCAGCGGCCAAGACCCTGGGGATGCTCTTCGAAAGGGCAGTTCGCCCGGATCTTCTCTGTGTCGAACCCCATTGTCTTCCAGTAGTCCAACGGACGAAAGGGAGACACAGTGCTATCCTTCATCTGCTGGATCCTCCTCGTTGTGAGGATTCTTGTGACCTCGTTCCTCAACTTGTTGAGGCAAACCTTTCCGGTTGTCGGGTCACGGCACCGCGACGCCTTGGAGAAGAACTCCTCTTTCTCGGCGCCTTCGAATGCCAAGTCTTGCGGCCAGGTTAACCTGGCGACGTAGACCTGCAACGAGTGACAGTCCTTGTGCACATAGGTGTGCGTGCTCTTCTTGACCGCGTCCTCCCTCGCCACACTTCCCTTGCAGCGAGCGCAAAACACGGTGTCGACAGCAGCCATGGCTTCGGTGGCTCGTCGAGAGGGCTGCGGAAACTCAGGAGCTAGGGAGGCTGTGAAAACGAGCCAGCGGAGAAAAAGGAAGGCAGGAAACAGGAAGGATGGAGCAAATTTCGGCGCGTATCCCGCGGTATCGTGTGGTATCGCGGCATGGTTTTGCGCATGGGGCTGCAGGGGGATGCCAAGCGGTATCCCGCGGTATCGCGTTGTTTTTTTTCTGCAAACCTTATATCCAAGAGCCACCAAAACCGGTATCGCGCGGTATCGTGCCTGGTTCCTGTCCGCAAACCTAGAAGAACAAGGCGGGATACCGCGAGATACCGCGCTGGTATCCTCTCAGCTCCCCCGGTATCGCGCGGTATCGCACGGTATCGCGCGGTATCGCGCGGTATCCCGTGGCATCCCGCGGTATCCAGGCCAACCCTACATCCTTGCCCTAAACCCTAAACCCTAAACCCTAAACCCTAAACCCTAAACCCTAAACCCTAAACCCTAAACCCTAAACCCTAAACCCTAAACCCTAAACCCTAAACCTTAAGCCCTAAACCCTAAACCCTAAACCCTAAACCCTAAACCCTAAACCCTAAACCCTAAACCCTAAACCCTAAACCCTAAACCCTAAACCCTAAACCCTAAACCCTAAACCCTAAACTAAACCCTCGGGTTGGTGTTTCAAAAGTACCTCCTTTAGAAGTACGATTTTGAAATTTGATGTTTTCAGTTGTTTCGCTTGTTTTTGTCGGTGTTTTCCATATGTTTTGTTTGTGTTTTGTTGTTGGTAAACCCTTTGGGGCTCTCAATGAGTGTCCCCGCTGTCTCTAGATCTGTTCACTCTTGCCCGCTTACGTAGACCGCCGTGCGTGACGCAGCGCTTGCGCTCGTGCGTGAACTGTGAAGTGTCTGCAGCACGTGAGCGTTCACAGGGTTTGGGGTTGAGGGTTTGGGGGTTTAGGGTTTAGGGTTTAGGGCTTAGGGTTGAGGGTGACGGTTTCAGAGTAGCGCAAGCGCTCGTGCGTGAACTGACTGCCCCGCAGCGCAGCAGATGAAGTCCTTTGGTCTGGGTACACACATTGGCTCGTCATTGGCACCAGCAACACTCCAGCTATGAAGCTTGCACTACCGCTTCCAAGGCGTGAAAGACGCCAGCGAGTCCTGCCTTGAGGCTCTTTACGGAGTACAGAGAAACTCGCGTGCGACCAGCTTGCTTGTCCAGCAGAGCCGTCAGCACGCGCTCCAAGTAAGCCATCTCCTCTGCTAGCTTCTCCGCGTAGGGCTGGGACCACTTGAGAAGGTCGGAAGCACGGGCCAGGAACTTGGCTTCCTTCTTGGACAGTGCCCCTGCACAAGTGGAGCTGTGCATGTGGCAGCCTGCTGTTCTCTGTCGCTTGCTGCTCGAGCCGTCGCAGTCGACGTGGCTCTGAGCAGGTCGCTTCTGGCCGCTGCAGCCCACGTCCACGTAGAAGCCCAAGCTTTCCACTTCGTCGGCAGCTTCCGCCGCGGCAAGGCTGGCCATCTCACTCGCACAGCAGCTGCAAGTCTAGGAACCGGCAGCTCGAGAAGAGATGCTATACACGACACGCTCCTCTGCACGCATCGGTCTATAGCGCCCTGCGCTCAGGCAAGCACACGGTCTACAATGCCATATAAACCTATGCAATGAGTCTGAAGCGCAGGAGGTCAGGGAACACTGCGCCTTTTCGACCTCGCGCTGTGCAACCTCCAGCGCGCGCTCTTGCAGTGAGGCATATGAACATGCGACGACGCTGAGAATTCTGCAGCAGAGGGAGCTTCTATGAAAACTCCATGCGCTAAAACTGTGCACAGGTATCAGACCTGGTAGTGTCGCAAAAGCCAGCAGCTACGAGTGCAGCCCGGCCGCTTCCTGCATTTGCTGCAGCCTTTCTTGTACTTCTGCAGGAGACTCGACGGGACGCCGCACGCCTTGCGATACGCGCGCTCCGCCGCCGAACCTGGCTTGAAGTGCTGCCGCTCTTCCATGGTCTTCTTCTTGGACTTGCCCTTGTTCTTTGCCTCTGCACGAGGGTCGGGCTTCGAGGTCGGGTTCTTTCCAGACTTCTTGCCCGTGGCGCTGCTCTCCTTCTTCGTCTTGTTGTTTTTCTTCTTCTTCGGGCTTTGGCCTTTAGTGGGTGGCGTACTCTTCTTTGGCTCCTCCAGCGCATGCGCCGCCAGCTTTGGCAGTTTCGAGCCCATGGCTACCTGTAGCTCCAGCGCCGCATTCAAGACCGAGCTTCGGCCAGATGCCTCGCTGCCCTTTTGCTGAAGGACTGCTGCAGGTCCGCCATGCACACTCGCAGAAGAACCCGGCTGAGGTGCAGCATCAGGCGCCAAACTACCAGTAGCTGGCGCGGCTCCAGAGAGCACGGGCGCAGTCTCTGGCCCACGAGCAACCTCGAGCATGGCAGGCTGGCAGGGCCTGTCCGAGACTTGCAGAGGCGTGGCCGGCAGCGCCAGCGACTGTTTCTCAGAGGAGCACACCTGAAGCAGCCCTGCAGATGGTGAAGAAGTAGCTTTGCTGTCTTCAGCAACACTGAGCGGAGGAACTCCAGATGCGGCAGGAGTCGCAGCCGGCTGCCCAGTCATCGCCTCTGCTCGAGACGCCTCACAGCAGCATGGCTTCAGGAGTTCAAGGTATAGCGGGACCTAAAGGGGGCTCTCGAGGGCTTATACAGGTTTAGGATCTCCGGCACCTGAAGCTGCGCGTGCTGGCTGGGCTGCAGCGGAGGCGGGGGCAGCAGGGCTGCCGGCGGTTGCCTGCGGCGCTCCTTCAAGAACAGTGGGCTTTCGTCTGAGTCGCAGTCCATTGTCGAGGGGCAGCGAGGCAGTGCAAACTTCATCTCGCTACTGCTGCGGACACAAGGGCCAACCGGAGTCTTGCCCGTACGCATCTTCAGGGTTTGTAGCTGCAGCCGCACCCACTTGTTGCTCATGCGAGCCGGCACGCCGACTGCGTTGAGCCTGAACTCCTCGTCGTCAAAGGGAGCCGCCGCGGGAGCTTCTTGCGCGAAGACACGGTCACGCCAAGCATGGTCAAGGTCGCCCACGTTGCTTGGGAGAGCCACCACGTACGGCAGGTCGGGGAGCTTTGGACACAAACGCGCGTGCTTTTGCAGAGCGTTCTTGACTGAGAGGTACTGCTTGTGCACGGCCAACGCGTCGTTCATGGGCACGTGGTCCGAGCCGTACAGCAAGAAGTACCAGGTCACCACTTGGGCTGTGAACTCGGACGGACAGCGGAGCCCCAAGCTGGCCAAGTAGCTGGACAGCACGTCCAGCTTTTTGAAGTCGCGCAGGCCGGGGTCCTGTAGCTGCTGCCAGACACTTCTCGTCAAGTACCGGAAGGCGTAGGAGAAGTCCTGCTGGTCTCGACGCTTCCGCTTAGTGGAAGGCTTGCTCGGTTTCCCTTCTGCAGTGGCTGTGGGCAGCGCCTGCGCAAGCTGACGCCTTTGCTGCTCTGACAAGCACAGTTTTGCGGCTGCCGAGTCTAGCAGGACCAAAACCTCGGAAGCAGAGGAGCAGTCAAACTCAGTCTCTGTGAGGCTAGCCTGAAGGAGGTCGAACTGCCTCTCACATTCCGCCAGAGCATTCTCCGGCGAGGCCGCCCTGCTGAAGGCTTCCAGGTAACCCAGCACCGCCTGGAGGTGAGCGGCCGCCATGCCGCGAGCGTCAGACTAACTAAGTCCCCCAGGCTTGGAAGCCAACGTGCGTCCCATAAGTGAACCACGGGCTCGAGACGCACGATGTGAGTATGACAGAAGCGCAAGCGCTCAGACATATAACAGAAGCGCGAGCGCTCACACGAGTCACAGAAGCGCAAGCGCTCACACATAGAAGAGCATGATGGAGAGGAGAAAGAACAGTGCATAGGTCGTGAAACACTATATGAGAAAACAACCTGCAAGACAACCGGGAGCCTTGGTGCTTCGCGACTGGCCAAAAAATATGTCTTCTGTACTTACACATATAAATACCTGGAACCTTTGCTCGCTTCTTTTCCTCACACACCACGCACCATGTCGTGCAGCGCATGGTCAGCTGCTGTTGCAAAGCGAACAACCGCGCGAAGAGCTGCCCGTGTCTCGTGCAGGAAATGGCGCAACTGTTCCACCTCCTCTGCCCTCACCACGATGTCGCCTCTGCCAGCATCTCCAGCACCAGCGTCTGGAGGCACTGCAGGAGGTGGCGGAGGTGGCAAGAGCTGAGCGTGACCTGCAGCCGCAGCGCCGCCAGCTAGTGTTGCCCCGGAGCTTGGCAGCGGAGTCGACGCTGTAGGTTCCAAGGCCCCAGTCTTTGCCGCAACAGCTGGCGCAGAGGTAGTCTGCCCAGGCGCTGCCGGCGAGGCCACAGGAGAAGGCGCCCCCGTTTTTTGCTGCTTGAACTGGGGCGCGGCTTGGCCAAGGTCGCTGCCAGGCCGCTTCTGCGACTCGTTGGCGGCAGCGGACACACCAGCAGGCGAAGAAGCGGACTCTTCTTCACGACGACGTGCTTGCAGCCACTGTTCCCATTCCTCCTCGCTCCAGCGACTGTCCCACGCTGCCCAATCTCTAGCTGTCCACATTGGCTTCGAACCAAGAGCAGCTGCGCATGTTTCACCGCGCACTGAAACGCAACCGGCTCGACAGTACACGCACAACTCCAGCAGCGCCGTGCGCTCTTGTGTTGCATTGTTTACATGTTTCCTCCTACACATGCAGTGCAGCAGCGCCCTGCGCTCAACGAGACACCAACAAAAACATTGCCTGAAGGCTTCAACAGCAAAACAGGCCACATGCAGGCATACTCTCAGTCTCCTTGAACCTGAAGCCCAAAACCCAGACCGTAACAGTAGCCCCCTTAGGATTCGCCTGACTCCGTTAAAGCAGTCATGCTAGCCGAAGCACTATGCGCGTGTGCGGACAGATTCTTTTCCCTCGCGTCGGATCATAGTACCACTTGCAGTACCATGACTTCCTCTTCCCACCGCGCTCGCCACGCTCACGCTTGCCAGCGTCAGGAGGTAGGGAAGAAGGCGGAGTGGACTGAGCGCCAGCGTCTGCTGTGGCGCCGGCGCCTTGCGAGCAGGAGCTTGGCATCGCCGGTGAAGCTGTAGCTTCCAAGGCCCCGGTCGTAGCTGGCACGGCGGTCGTGCGCAGCGGCGCAGTTGTGCATGCTGCTTGCTGCATCGCTGGAGAAGAGCCCCCCACTTTCTGCTGCTTCGACTTGGCAGCCGCCTGGAGGCCAATGTCGCTGTTCCACGTCCGCTTCTCTGACTCCAGGCGCTCCATTTCTTCCGCCAATTTTTCCTCGAAGGTGGCCGACCCATAAAGAAGAAGAAAACGAGCCAAAGCCATCTCGAATGCGAGGCACACGTGTGTAGGCTTAAAGGGCTTCATGAAGGAGTTTCACATGTGACCGTCGCTCTTGCTTGGCATGTTGAAACAATGCTGCCATGTAACTTGCTGCTGTTAGGCTAAGCTCTGCCAACAACACGCTTGACGGCGCGCTTGCAGGATATAAGAATTCGGTACTGGCAGAAGCGCGTAGCGCTCAACCGTGTTGACACATTAACAATTTGGATATTTTCTGTTTGACGGCAGAAGCGCACTGCGCTCGATACAGCAGCGCGAAGCGCTCGGCATGACTTTACTGTAGGGGAGGGTGCAGGGTTTAGGGCTGCACATAATGGTTTATAGGGGTTTCAGGTTTAAGGGCTTGGGGCTGAGGAATAGAGTCTCGGGTAGCGCACCACGCAAGAGTTGGGCCAGGTGTTCCTAGACTTCACCTGCAGCTACGAAAATCCGCCGGCAAGCTGCCATCGCTTTTAAGAGACGAAAGCAAACCGTCACGTGCGGATAACATTTGCGACGCATATACAAGTACATGTTTGTCGCACATAGAACTCTACGTAACGGAATTTGCAATTTGCACTTCACAATCTCATGGCAGCGCAAAGCGCTCAGTGTGTGATGTATACGACTTCTGTCACGTGAGCCTTACAACCCAGAGTCTCAAGAATAAAGTCTGCAGCAAAGACCAGATGTATGTTCGTGACCGTGTTAACATTGAACCCTACGACATAATGAGGCAAGATCGAAAAACCCGAGAAAACACGCATCGTGCTTGCACAAACTAATTTAAGACATCCGCCAGCTTCCAAAGCAGTCCGAGATGTATGAAAACGGACAAAATCTATAAAAACATACAAAAGCATGGATGAAAAAATGACATGGGGCAGACATGCCTTTGCACGAAATTTGAGCTCCCGAAATCGATCAAAAAGTTAAGTTCAAGTTAAGTAAAAGTTAAGTTTTTTTAAGTTGTTGCATGAACACAGCATGTTGAACTTAGCCAAAAGCTAACTATACTTAGGGTTGCCTAGCTTAAGGCTAAGACGCTTAACTAACCACACAAAAACTTAGAAGTTACACCCATGTTAAACCCATGTTAAACCCATGTTGCTAAGTTGCTAAGTTATCTTAGTGGTCGCGCGAGCCCTAGCGTGGGGTTTGGGGTTTAGGGTTTAGGGTTTAGGAGTTCAGGGTTTAGGGTTTAGGGTTGAGGGTTTAGGGTTCAGGGTTCAGGGTTGAGGGTCTTATAGGGTTTCGAATGTAAGGTCTTCGAAGCTTGTAGAGCATAGGGCTATTGTCATGCACAGACCGTCTGAGGCTTTGGGCTTTAGGCTTCAGGGTCCTCAGAACCCTAAACCCTAAACCCTCAACACTCAAACCCTCAAACCCTCAAACCCTCAAACCCTCAAACCCTCAAACCCTCAAACCCTCAAACCCTAAAACCCTAAACCCTAAACCCTAAACCCTAAACCCTAAACCCTAAACCCTAAACCCTAAACCCTAAACTCTAAACCCTAAACCCTAAACCCTAAACCCTAAACCCTAAACCAACCTCTCTCGAAGCCGCGGAGCCGCCCAGGCTCGGGTTTTTCGTGCCAGGGCTTTCGCCGCAAGAAGCTCCTGGGGACGACGGCGGGGCCTGGAGGTTTAGGGGTGTGCGGGTTTAGGGTGTACCTAGGTTTCGGGTGTGAGGGTTCCCATAGGGTTTAGGATTCAGGGTCTGAGGGTTTAGGGTTTCGGGGTTTTCGGGTGTGGAGTTTTGGGCTGCTATGGCTACCGAACTGCCTTCAGGGGCTGCAGGGCTTTAGCAGATGCTTTTTCGGGTCTATGAGAAAACGGTTTAATCCCCAATTGGATGTTCTGGAAGAACAGCAAGCAGCCTTGATCCGAGCAAGTATGCTTCACAACTCAAGCGCAAAAGTTCAGGTCAAGGCACAAACTGGAGACCAAGCAAGGTGTGGAGGCCACACGTCACAAGGAACGCACACCACATACGAATGGCGCGGTGGCGTGCGCGAAAAATGTGACACGCCCTATACCAGCTTGGGCTATTAGGCCTTAGAACCCCCAGAACCGACCCTATGGATGGCGCGATGGATTTGATGGATTTCGTTGCGTGATTTCGTTGCGTGATGGATTTGGTCGGGTTTCCTCTTAAAATTAGTATGTTTTACAGCACGGGGTAGGGTTGGCGGGAACCGCCACGCTTCGTTGAAAAAAGTGGAAACAATGCGAACCCTCTGCGCGTTTTGGCGTTGTCGAACGCAAAAACGATGACCCTGTGCATGTGCGCGGGGTGTCGTGATCGCACGAACGACAACCCTCTGCGTGTTTTGGCATTGTCGACATGCAAAAACGGTGACCTTCTGCATGTTCCTGGCGGCTCGTGATCGCACGAACGACAACCCTCTGCGTGTTTGGGCGTTCTCGAACCGCGAAAACGACGACCCAATGCGTGTTCGCGGGGTGGCGTGATCGCAGGAACGACAACCCTCTGCGTGTTTTCGCGTTGTCGAAACGTTGTCGAAACGCAAGAACTATGACCCTCTGCGTGTGCGTGGTGTTCTGCAGCCTTGCACAGCTCTTTCTCTTTCGTGTCTCTAGAGTGGCATGACCGATCTCGTTGCACCCGTGCCCCTGCCGCTCCCCATTCTCTACATACAGGTAAAGTGTTGGCTCTAGGGCAGCATTGCTTACAAAACAGGGAGGCTTCTGCTCGCTTATGCAAAGGCAGGCTCCCAGGTGCTGCCATTGATGCTGCGCGGGCGTGGGCCCCTAAAGCAATGGCATAGAGCATCATTTCCTGCCTGCTCCGTGTAACAATGGTGTGAACGGTACCTTGACGTTTGCACTGCTTTTGCCTGTTCCGAAGACGCCCTCAAATTGTCCCGCTCAGGCTCTTCGTATTGCCCGCGCTGATCACGATTGTCTGGCATGCCTTCAACGGATTGCACTTCCAAGCGGGCATATGCCTGCTATTGTCCTGCTCGTTTGCAGCATTTTCTACAAGGTTGCAGGCCATGCGGCGCACGCTTCAATGTTAAGCAGCACTTGCACATGAAAGGTCTCACGCCTCTTGAGCTTGCCGCATCTGGCCCATTTATTCGTAGCACTGCCAAGGTGTCGGCATTGCTGTCGTTGGCACTTATGCTAACCACGCGTGCAGCAACATCCACAAAGACCAACTTGTTTCCACTGGGACGTTGCCCCTTCTGCTGAAGGCATCCGTGGCCAGCTACATTCTGACATGCTGCGTTGGACCTTGGCATGGGAAAGCCAAAGCCTCAAAAACTAGCAAGCCCGTGAAGGTGTTCCCGAGCCTGCGTTAACCAGGCGGAGGCCCTTCGCAGGTTGCTGAAGAAGTCGTACGACATTGACTTGTGCTTGGTTGACACCAGCGTAGGCCAACAATGCTTCCAGGAGGTTTTCGGCATTATGGAGACTTGCCAGGTCTTCGTGGCCTTTTTGAGTGCAGACTACGGCGATCCCGAAGGGATCGACTGCTGCACGAATGAAGAACTGGCCAGGTGGCTGAACGATTACGTTCGCAACGAGGGCCGCCCTGCGCCAGTTCTCATTCACATGGCCAGCAGCAGGACCGCTTACAAGTTGTAGAGTGGGCCCTTAACTTGCGCTCAAGCGTGGACAAAATCAAGGTCCCGACGGCCGTGTTAAACGCCATTCTCGATGCCACTGGAAAGGCCGCGCATTTGCCTGAGTGTGGAGCATGGAAGCACAAGACGTGCACGTGCGGACGCAAGGACGCAAATTCGAAGATCGGGAACAACAACCAGCCTCCCACATGCCCCACCTAGGCATGCTCTGCACCATTTCTTTGGGCAGCTCTTCATGATGTCCTTTTTGACAAGCAACTAACTAACACCACTGGAGAAGTTGTTGACATTCTCTTCTTAGTTCTTGGAGCACTTTTACGTCCTGAAGCTCAGCCCAGACGATGCCAATGCGCTAAATGTCATCCAAAAAATTTCTTGCACATTCTTGCCGCGCTTCGCTTTTGACCTGCTGTGAGTTAACGTTGCGCAAGCTTGCGGCGCCATGCTGAGGCCACGCCTGATTCAGCGACAGTTGCGCTCAGCTCAGACTCCACCCCAAGCTGTAAACTCCAGCTTTGGGCAAAAAGTAGAGGCTAGACATAGTGCACGGCAGTAGCACAGAAATTATGGAGTGGACTGCGCTACAAGCGCCTAACAGGAGATGTGGGTAGCCAAATCCTAAACCCTAAAAGAAGATATTGATTGGCTGTTTTAGTCCCGTCTGGACCAAGCTTAATGGCTTGATGGGACCAGAATTCTTTCTTTCTTCGAACTCGTGTAGTTTCTTCCTTTATCGTCCCTGCCTTGCGATTGATCTTCAGTCAGCTAGGCGTGTGGCAAAAAAAGAAGATGTTGGTGGCCAAACCCCAAAACCCTAAAAAGAGATGTTGCTGGGCAAGCCCTAAAAACGAAAAGGAGATGTTCTAGACCCGAGATTTTGGTAGCCAAATCCCAGGGAGAGTAAGCTTTTGTTAGCTTGCAGTAGCAGCTAGTCTACAACCGGCTGAATTCTGATAATCGAAGAGTGATGTCGATATTTGTATGAAAAATGTGCGCGTCGTAGCCTGTACTCGTGAGTGCTGAGCTCGCTGGCAAATGCTCTGCAGCAGTTCTGAACCTGCAGCTGAATGAAGAGAAGCCGAAGGCTCCGACCTTGCGAAGGATGCACTTGATCAGTTGAGAGAAGTTTTGCTGTGCATCCCTCTCGGAGTGTGATACAAGTTCAATCTATGAACAAGGTGATGCCCGATCTGAAAAAGCCGGCGGGATTGGAGAAAACATGAGAAAACCTCCGGAGGAAACCTCCTTGTCTGAGAGCTATGGCATACGGCCCATTGGCTTCACTGTAGAACCTACGACCCTTCTGGTCGCGTCAAGGTTGCCTCAACCTCTGCCCACTGCGAGATAGACGTGCTCATCAGACGATCTTGTTCAAAGAAGGGCTCTCGG